TGGAAACTGAAGGGATGGCTATAAATTGGGGAATGGCTAAACAAGTTATGGTATGTGACTGTGATGGAATGCTACTGTGCTGTAAGAAAGGATGAGCTAGGGGCAGCTAGGTAGCACAGTGAATAGAGCTCTGGCCTTAAAGTCAGGGGGACCTGAATTCAAATCCAGCCTCAGACACTTAACACTTACTAGCTGTGTGACCCTAGGCAAGTCACTTAACCCCAATCGCCTCACTAAAAAGCAAAAGAAAAGAAAAGAAATGATGAGCTGGTTGATTTTAGAAATACACGGAAAGACTTGCATGAAATAATAAAGAGTGAAATGAGCAGAACCAAGAGAACATTGTGTACAGTAATAGCAACATTGTTGGGAGAGCAACTGTACAATAGCTAAGCTATTCTGAGTAACTCGGATATTCAAAACAACTACAGTGGATGTGTGAAGGAAGATACTGTCCACCTACAGAGAAAGAACTACTCTACGGGCGAATGTATTGTATGGTTCCATATATATATATATACATATCAATATCTAATGTTGACCTTCTCTAGTGCAGAGCTGACAGGGAGGGAGGGAGACACCTTGGAACTCAAAAGGCAACAAACAAATAAATACATAAGTGGCTGAATGAATGAATGAATGTGTAGATGGAAAAAGAATGAGACTTGTATTTTGGACTTGACCAATGTGGGAATTTGTTTTGCTTTACTATGCACGGATATTAAAAAGGCTTTCCTCCTTCTCTCCTTCCTTCCAAATATATTTTTGTTAATTAAGAAAAAATTTGAGAGTAAATTAATTCCTTGCCTTGAGAGGAAGATAAAATCTCAGCTCAACCAAAGAGAGAATTTCTTACTGGGAAAGTCCACTTTCAGCAGTTCTGCAGTTCCTGGGCTTTTAGGTACTGAGAATCAAAGGACATGTTGGGAGCCATGCTCCCTACACTTCTGTAGCCTTGCTTCTTGCCTGGTCTTTCTCAAACTCTCTCCCTCTGCTCTCTGAAGTTTATCAACATGTAGTATTGAGGATCCTTCAGGCTGTTGGTCAATCAGGAGTCACACCTCCCTGAGTGTATACAGTATCCTTCATAGCATTATCCTTTAGGGAACCACCCTAGCACTGGGGGGAAGTGTTGCCTAAGCATTTAATAAATGCTTAATTAATCAACTGAAACATATTCTCCTGGCCCAAGATGGCAGAAGATGCTATCAAGAAGTGTGGGACTTTTTCTCCGTATCTTTTAGGGGATGGACTACTGCTGTGTGCTATGTAGAAGTGCTAGATTCTCTTTCCTGGTCTGAAATCCGTCTTGGGGTACAGGCCTGATGGCAAGTGGCAGCAGAGTCAATAAATAGTCAGTGCATATTTATTAAGCATATCCTGTGTTGTAGGCATTGTGTCAAGTGCCAGATACAAACCTGGGTGTGGCGTGGAAAGGAAGACCAAGTCCCTGTTCTCATAGAACTTACAATCCAATTGGTGAAGACTACACACACACACACACACACACACACACACACACACACACACACACGCACACACGCCCATGTGCACACACACAGACGTATATATACTCACATATAAACAAACACGCACACATAGACACATACAAACACATACATATGCACACATATACAAACACATGCACACACATGCATACAGACACACAGGCACATACATGCACACACATACACAACCACACAAACACACACACACACACACACACACACACACACACACACCCAGAACAGCGGGAGAGATGTCTCTTTCCCCGGATTTATCAAGGCACAGGAGGGCCTTGGGAGGCCCTCTTAAGAGGCCTGATAGATGTCCACAGCAGCCCTGCTTCTGAAAACTGACCTGGAGCAGGGAGGTCAGTCTGGGGCTCAGGGGGGGTGCCTCAGCCCTGCTCCAGCCCTGTCACCTTTGGGGCTGGGCCCAGGGTCTCTCCTGAGAGGGGAAAAGGGGCTGACTTTGCACTGAAGACTCCCTTTATAAGCCTACGACAAGAACCCAAGCCAATCAATCCATCCCCCTGCCCCGAGGGTATCCTCCCTCTGCGGTCAGTGAAATCGGCCTTGGGCTCCTGAAAGACCTTGCCTGTTCTGCCCTTGGCTGGTTGACTGGCTGCCTGTCTGCTCCCTCTGCTCCTGTCTCTGGGCTTCTCCCTCTCTGTCCCTGTTGGGTTTAGGGGGATCTCCAGCCTTAGTGTCTGGGTTGGGGCACCTGTACTCTTGTACTCCGGGATGGGGCAGGCAGACCCTGCTTGTCCCAAGCGTGGTGGCCAAGACCAGGCTGTAGTTGTGGGCCAGGCTGCCTGGAGGCTGAGCTGGATGCCTGCACTGGCTCTGTCTCAGGCAGGATCTAAACCACCCCCCAACCTGCTTATCCTTCCCCTCTACCCCACCTTCCATCATCCAGAGCTTTCCTTCTCCCCCCTCCCGCCCCGCCCCAGAGAAGAGGGCAATAGAGGATATCACCAGGTTCCACAAAGAGGGATTGGCCTGCTGCTTCTCAGGTTAAGGTAGGTCCTTACCACACTCCATCCCTCCTCCCCTTCTCCTAGGCCTCTGTTCTCACCTAAATCTCCCACCCTCCGGAGACCTCTTCTCAGTCTCTCTCTTCCACAGCTTTCCCCATTCACATTCCATGGGATAACCTTAGATCTTAAATATAGAATAGTGAGGGGCAGAGAGACATACAGAGAAGGAGATGGGTGTAGGGGGAAGGGACAGAAAGGGTGGAGAGAGGAGAGGGAGAAGGAGGAAAAGAGAGAGGCGGGAGGGGGGAGAAACAGAGGCAGACAGACAGACAAAGACAGAGGCAGGAAGAGGAAACAGGAGAGGAGATGGAATGCCTTATCTCTCCCCAGGGTATGAGAGCCTGGAGAGCCTCCCCAGTCTTTAAGGTGGGCTCACCTCCCTCCCCTGGGATCCTGCAGGAGCCAGGAGTCCCAGGCTTCCCTACTGGCTGCTCCTGGTTGGATGTGGGGCCACCCTCCAGCCCCTTCTCTTCCCTTCCTTGCTGTTGCCCTCTTTCACCTCCAGGGCCGCCTACTAACCCTAACCTGGGCATGGAGCTATTCAGGAGCCTTGGGTGTGGGCAGCGATCTCAGACATTTAGGTTCACTTCCTCCACTGAGTTCTAGCTTTGGTTCATCATAGGTACCTTCCTTGCCCTTCCTTCTACCCTGAACAGCCAGTACTGTCAACAGATGTGGGGAAGGCTGTGTTGGGGGGGAACCCAGGAAATGAAGGAGAGGATGCCTGGGTCTAAGAGGGGCAGGGAACTGTAGAAGAAGACCCCTGAGTATCTAGCTGGTGGTAACCTGGGATAAAATGCCTGCATCCCCCCTCCTCCCCAGGAAATAAAGGAGGAAGTGAGGGGTTTAGAGAATTTGTGGTAGGGGTAGTGGAGGGGACATCTGAATGCCTGGTTCTGCAGGATTTGGGTTAGTCCCTGTGGCTCATTAGTTACTCTGGTTAGTTGGCATGGTGCCTAGGGCTGGCTGGCTCCTGGGGGCCTTGGGGGAGGATGAATTCCAAATTCTTTGTCTCATTGGGACAGACATCCCCACCCCATATACTAGCACCACTTAGGTTCACACTTGCTGAGACCTTCCTACCCCCCACCCCCAGCCCCAGAGCATCTGAATTTCAGCTCCCATCTCTTCCAGGCCCAGCTCCCTTTGCCACCTTCAGCTCACACATCACCCAGAGGAAGGCTCAGCCCCTGGGGTGGGGGGTAGCTTTTGGTTGGGGGAAATCTCTGGTTTCTTTCCCGGTGCCAGATGTAAGTGGGGGCACATGTGGGGAGAGGGAGGCAGAGGGAGCAGTCAGAGGAGTGGTCTGTATTCTCCGTTTTCTCTCGAGTTGCCACAGTCGGTCAGACAAGACCAGCTTACTTTCTTCCTCTGATTCCTACAAAAGGATTTTCTTGTTGGCATCTGCTTCCCTTTGATCGGGTAGGGGGGCTAGTGAGGAGCCTCCTCTGTGGTCTGAATGGGTCCTTGCCTCTCTCCAGAAAGCGGACAGCCTCCTCCACCTCCCCTCTTAAAAATGGAAGCATCATCCGGCACCAGTCTAACCAGAAGACGCCCAGGTCCTCCATCTACTGGGGTGGCTCAGTCTGAGTGAATAATTCCTTGCGCTACTGAATGGCAGTGGCTAGTCAGGACAGGAAAAGAATCCATGTGACAGGGGTTACAGGTTCTCTGGATTTTGCCTCAGTTTCCTTATCAAGTAGGGAAGAGTTTCATCCCTTCCTGGACTGTGCTGTGTGCAAATGTATGTGCTGGAGGAGGATGGGGCGGGGGAGACCTAGCTGGAGGGTTGGTGTCACTACAGACAGAAAGGGAAGCATGGAGTTCCATTGGGCCTGTGGAAAGACACAAGCCTTTGGTGCTGGGCTGGGAGTCAGGAAGACCTGGGTTCAAATCCAGCCTCAGACACTGACTAGCTGTGTGACCCTGGGAGAGCCACTTAACCCTGTTTGCCTCAGTTTCCTCATCTGTAAAATGAGCTAGAGGAGGAACTGGCAAACCATTCCAGTGTCTCTGCCAGAAAACCCCAAAAGGGTCAGGAAGAGTCAGGCACGACTGAACAGCAGTCACTGAGTTTATTGTTCTTCTGGTTCTGCTTTCTTTGCTCAGCATCGGTTCATACAAATCTTCTCTTGTTTCTCTGAATTCGTCCCATTAATAATTTCTTTTGATCTAATAATATTCCATTCCATTTTTGTGGGAGCAGCACCCCAAGGCCCTAGACCATGCAGCCTAAGCTAGTTTTCCCTGAAAAGATATTGTAACCATGCTTGAGACCTAACCAGTCCAGGGTCCTTAGGCTCAGGCCATTTCCTACTGGCCCCAACATAGGAGAAGCCCCCCGCACTTAGCACAGTGCCTGGCACATAGTAGGCGCTTAATAAGTGCTAGCCGTCTGACTGGCCTGAGTCTTGCATCACAAGCCAGAGGAAGAGAGCTGAGCCCTGCTGAATCAGTGATGCCGTGTCCCAGCCGACTCCCCTGCCCTTCTACGACCGCCGGACTTCCTTTTGTGAACTGTGAAACACCCTGCAAGTGTCTCCTTTTGTTCTAGTCTGAGGCTGAAAAAATCAGAGGGGTCCCAGTTAGGCCTGGCTCATGATGGCCGTGACTATAATAATGTAAATGAAAAGACCATTGAATGGAAGCCAAGCAGTATGCAATTGTAACGACCAATGCTAGCTGAAGAGAAGGGAAGGATGGAAGGGAAGAGAAAGAAGGAAAGGAAGGCAAAGGAAGGGAGGGAAGTTGGGAGAGGGAAGGGACCTCTTGCATTCTGGTAGAGAGGTGGAGAACTGTGTATGCAAAATGTTGCATGCTGTTGGGTTTTGCTCAACTGGGTTTTTGTTTGTTTTTGTTTTTGTTTGTTTTTTTTGTTACAAAGGAAAAGTGGACCGGGGCAGGATTGTCCGAGTTATCCTGAAATGTCTGTAATGCAGAAAATATAAGGCACTGATAAACCTTATTTTAAAAATTTCCAGGTGCCAGCATCAGATCTCCTGGACTTCCTTTGCTTTAGTTTAGGGCACGCTCACAGAACCAGAGGCAAAAGTGGGGAGAGCTCCTCCCTCCTCCCCTGGGATAGGCTCAGCTCATTGGATGACCAGTGGGGCATAGAGGATCGGGGGGAGCCCAGGTAGGGCCCTCACTCAGGCTTGGGTGCATCAGTTGGGCGTAGGTCACTTCCTGGAGGTCTCGGGCCTGTAGAGAGGAAGAGTAGATGAGAGGTGAGCCAGCTGGGGTGGGGATGGTGCAGGGAGTGATGCCTGCAGATCCTGCCAGGTTTTTCTGTACAATGGAAGTGTGGTTCACTGCTGGGGACAGAAGTAGAACATAAGTGCACGCCTGGAGGGCAGAAACTGGTCAGTTTTTCCTCTAGGGAGGGATAACGCTTACTGCCTTGTAGCCAGTTGGTGCTTAATCATTGTTGAATTGAAATGAGTGACTCACAGCCGGGTCCTCTGGTCTGCTCTGTCTGCTGTTCTTCACTGCTGTGTCTACAGGCAAGAGGAGAGAGAAGAGGAGAAAGGAACAGGGATTTCCCCAGGGTCAGACATGCCCTTCCAACACCCCAGGCCCTGCCGCCCCTGCCAAGCATCCCTTCTGTCACTTACACAGGGTCTGTTCCTGCACGGCCCCAGCTGGGCTGTAGCTAGGGAAGAAGACCGGATGATGAGGAAGGAGGGAGGCAGGGGCTCAGAGGGAATAGGGTATTTCTGGGGCCCCTACCTCCTCAGGGTCTCCTTGTCTTCTGCCGCTCTGCCCTCGGTATCTGGAAGGAGAGTCAGGGGTGAGGCTCCAGAGGGTGGCAGCCATCCCCTATCAAGACTGTGTCACCCCCTCTCTCCCAGCCCCAAGGACTCACTGAGCTTGGCCAGATGCTGGTGGTGGCAAAGGAGGAGGAAGAAGAGGAAGAGCAAGGTGGAGAGTAGTGAGACGCCTGTCAGGATGCCTTCCCAGAGCCTCGGGAGACCTGAGGGAGCTCCTGATGAAGACCAAGAGGGGAGAAGCAGAGTTAACCCCATCCTGCCTCTTAGGAGTCCCCAGTCTGAGGGGGAGACAGAGACTGGCCCTCAGGAATCCACTAGTCCAGGTAGAGGAGATAACACGAGAGAATTCACAGAGACAGGTTTTTTCTTGATTTACGGAAAAGCTTCTAAAAACTTGAGCTATCCCAAAGTGGAATGGGCCGCCTAGGGGATGGTGGGGTCCTCATGCCTGGGTAGGGGGCTTCAAGCAGAGGCCAGAGAAGTATTTTTCTGAGACAGAAGGGATTATTTTGGGGCTCAGGTCAGCCTGGGGGATGGCTGAAATCCTTTTAAACTCTATGATGTTGTTCAGTCATGTCAGACTCTTTGTGACCCCACTTGGGGTTTTCTTGGCAGAGATACTGGAGTGATTTGCCATTTCCTTCTCCAGCTCATTTTCCAGATGAAGAAACTGAGGCATACAGGATGAGGTGACTTGCCCAGGGTCACACAGCTAGTAAGTGTCTGAGGCTAGATTTGAATGTAGGTCTTCCTGACTCCAGGCCTGGCACTTTATGCACTAAGCTTCCCCTTTCAACTCCCTAATTTTACAAGTCTGTGGCCTGTCCTTAGGGAGGCCCCATTCTGAGGGGAGTGACACTTCCCCACACTTGGGTATCTCCTTTTGGACATGGAAACAGAAGTTGGATTTGGGAGGTGGGGAAGGCAGAGGAAGCTCTGAAGGGGCTGTAGTAGGAAGGGAGGGAGGGACAGAAAAGGGGGCAGTATTTCACACGGCCCCCAGCCCCCAGCCCCTCTCCATTTTCCGTCCTGGAAAGCCTCTGGTTACTCACTCAATAGGTTGTCCTGAGTTCCAGGCCTTGGAGAGGTTTCTGGGAAGGAGCACAGGAGTGAGGTCAGGAGCTGGGGAGAAGGTGCCCAGCGAGACCTGGCTGTGTAACAGAGCCAAGTGTCTCTCCCTTCCTGGGCGTGTACCTCCAGTGGAGCCTTAGACTCAATGAGCTCAAAGCACGTATATAGCTTGACAAAGAAACAGACTCACAGTCCAGAGCTGGAAGGGCCCAACCTCCTCATTTTACTGACAAGGAAACTGAGGCCCGGGGAGGGAAGGGATTTGCACAGAGTCAACCAGCTAGTAAGTGTCTGAGGCAGGATTTGAACTCAGGCTTTCTACTCCGGGTCCAGAATTCCTTCTTGTTCCTTATGAGCCCCTTTGCTCTGATTCTATCCCTGAAATCCCCTCGAAAGTCCCTATTTTCTCATTCATTGGTGGAAGAGATGGCCCTTCTGGCTAAAGTCAGCTCCCCTGCTTGGGCCCCTACCCTCCCTCTCTTATGAACTTGACCCTGTGATCAACCCCTGTCTCTTAAATTCTAGCCCCCCTTCACTTCTGCCCAAGAGCTTGCTCACATGTCCCCCACCAACCTGGCCGTCCCCTGGAGCTGCCCTCCCTTCCTCAGCCAGACCCCTAGGAAGGGTCTTCAGGGCTGTTGGTCTACACCCGCTCACTTTCTCCTCACTTCTAAACCTTTCAAAGTTTGGCTTCTGACCCCATCCCTCGACCAAAATGGATTTCTCCCGTATTACCAATGATCTCTTCATTGCCAGATTTGAGGGCCTTTTCTCAGTCCCTCTCCTGCGGGGCTTGTCTCTGAAGCATTTGATGACATGGACCCCCCTTCCCCCGGCCTGTTGTCCTCTCTGGGGTTTCCTGACCCAGCCTCCCCTGGGTATCCTCATCCTCCATACTTGGACGTAGCCAGGATTCTTTCCTGCGTCCTCTCCTGTTCTTTCCCTATGCCCCTCAGGCCCTGCTGGCACGGCCGGGCGTCATCTCAGCAAGCGACTCCCAGATCTACGGTGCCTGCCGCGTCTCTCTCCTCAGCATACCCCACTTCCTGAGGAGGCACCTCCCCGATCCCAGACAAAGCCTATCAGCCTGGAGGCTTGAAAAATGGACAGCTCCCTTACAGGAGGGAAGGGGGCCGGGTGAGTCCTGCCTTACCTGTGACAATGAGCTTCAGGGGGTCACTGGGACCCGACCAGTGGTAGGGGAAGTTGCTGGAAAAACTGTAACATCGATAGGTGCCCTCGTGGGCTCTGGTTACAGCAGGGATGGGGAAGCTGGCCTGAGACCTCCATTCATAGCCTGTGTGGGTGTGGGCATCTCCCTCCTTGTACAAAGCAAACCTGTCAGATCTGGATTCCGCCTCACACTGGAGGATCACGGCCTTCCCTGTGGCCACCGAGTGGCTGGGCAGGGCCAGGAGGGTTGGCTTCTCATATATACCTGGCAGGGAAGAAGACCTTCTGGTTAAAGTGGAACTGCTAACCTCGGCCACAGAAAGAACTGTGGAGTCTGAATGCAGATCCAAACAGATGATTTTCCCTTTATTTTTGTTTTCTGTCTTTTCTGTCTCTTGGTTTTCCCCTTTAGTTCTGATTCTTCTTTCACAGCATGACTAATGTGGAAATATGTTTAATATGATTATACATGTATAGCCTGTTTCAGATTGCTCACTGTCTTGGGGAAAAGAAAGGGAAAAATTTTGGAACTTAAAATTTTACAGAAATGAATGTTGAAAACTATCTTTATATGTAATTGGAAAAAAATAGTATTAAGGATTAGAAAAACAATTTAAAAGAGGAGTTGCCCTCTTCCTTCCTCATGTTGGGATCTGAACTAGGGAAGGATAGGGCAGCTGCAGGTCCAGGAGTCTTTCCTTCTTTGGACTGAGGGGGAATGACCTGAGCTGGAAGACTGTAGAAGAAACTCAGGCTGAGATCCTGGATTCATGTTTGAGAAACCCTCCCCCAAGTGGAAGAGTCGGAAGGGCCCTGAGAGGAATCTAGGCCAATCCATAACAAGGCTCATCATTCCCCCCTCAACACTAGACTCCAGACAAGTGGTCCTCTGGCTTCTGGTCCACTGCCCCCAACAAGGAGCAGCCTGCCACCTTGAAGGGCAGCTCTCATGGAAGGGAAGTCTTTCTTTACTCTGGCTCCCGAGGTCTGGTGACCTCCCCCCACTGCTTCTGGCTCTTCCCTCTGGAGCCCTCCTCCACAGGCTGCCTTCAGGTTCCCCACCCTCTCCCCTCTCCCCCCACCAGCCTCCTGCTGTCTGGACTAAAGTTCCCCAGGGTTCTCATCTTCTCTCTGGTTTCCGGGTTAGGACTGTCTCCTTAAACGAATGGATGAGTGTGTGAGTGAGTGAAGGAATGACCCCAGCTAAGTACCAGCGATAGATACATAAAAATGAAGACGGATCAGACATGGGGAAGAAGGGAGCTGGGGAGAGAAGTGGGACAGAGCATCACGGGTCAGTGGGGCCGAGGGGGACACAGGGTGGAGCCCCCAGGGCATGTCCTCAGGGGCTCATGGCCCCTGGATTAGGAGAGCACCTGGGCACCAGCTTGCTTGGAATCCTGGTTCTGCCATGTATTACCTGTGTGATTCTGGGGGAGGGGGAAGGGAGTAAGCATTCTTATAGCGCCTACTGTGAGCTGAGCACTTTTATAACTATTATTCCATTTGATCCTCACAACAACCCTGGTAGTTACTCCCATTTTACAGTTGAGGAAGCTGAGGCAGAGGTTGGGTGACTTGCCCAGGGTCACACAGCTAGTAATGTCTGAGGCAGGATTTGAACTCGAGTCCTCCTGACTTCAGGCCTAGCAGTCTATCCACAGAGCCACCTAGCTGCCCTTGGGTAAATCCCTTCCCCTAAATACCCCACAAACTAAGACCTCAGTTTTCCCCTCTGTCAAATAAAGAGGCCAGACTCATTGGGCTCTAATTTCCCTAGGTTTTGCCACCCTCGGGCTAGCTCTGGGAAGAGGAGGAAGGTACAAGTGAGGGGGGATGGGGTGGGGAACCCTGAGGACAGGAGGCTCGGAGAAGTCCTCTTGTGGCTTGCAGACCAGGCTGGCCCTCAGCTGACAAAGCCTCCGGGCCTGGCTGAGGACCAGAGCCTGGGGCTGGGGGGGGAGGGTCCTCCCTCACCTGTCACCACCAACTCCAGGGGGTGGCTGCACCGAGACCAGCCGGACCGGCCCCGATAGAGGCAGCAGTACTGTCCTGCATCCTCCCTTGCCACAGATGGGATGGGGAACTCCGCCTCTGTCTGAGGCCAGGATGGGCTCTCCAGCCCTACTCGGGGCACGTGGTACTGCCTTGTCCCAGCAGGGCCTCGGCACCAGAGCGTCACATTTGTTCCCACAGGGATCAGAGTGCCTGGCTCAGCCCAGAGGGAGGGTCTGGTGAACGTGTCTGGAAGAGAAGCTGGGCCAGAGCTCCAAGAGGTTATTCCCTCTCTCTGTGGTCCCCTGACTCCCCCCTCCCTCTTGTGGTCATCCCCATCAGCCCGACCCTGACCCTCCTGTCCTTGGTCTCCAGGGGCTGCCGGGAGGGTGAAGAGGAACAAGGGAGTGGCCACGGCTGAGGGGAGGCACTCACCTTCATCTCCCATCTCCAGGCCCAGGCATAGCCCTGTGACAGAGGACCATTAGCTCCAGAACCCATGTCCTACCCACCAAACACCTTAAGGGGAGGGAGGCCTTGGGGACTAGAGCCAGAAGGGAGAGCTGGACACCGGGAAATCTGTGTTAGAATCCTAATCCTGTCCCCAACGTACAGCCAGAATCTCAAGCTAGCCATTTCCTCTGTTTGCTCCTCTTAAAAATGGGTATGTGGGGGTCGGGTTGGGGCTTGACTTGGCTATCTCTAAGCTGTGAAACCCCTCTCTTCTCAGGGGTCTTGAATCCCCTCTCCCCAGGACTCACCAAGGCTCAGCAGGGCAGAGAGTGCGGAGGCCATGATGGCTCCTGGTATGTGTGAGGAGATGGACTGACAGATGGACAGATGAGCAAACGACTCTTAGGAGGTACAGGATGTGGCGTTCTGAGCCCCACTCTGAATTTTCCAATCACTCAGTGTCACTTTAGGCGGAAATCACACCCTACTCAATGTGGTTTCCAGAGGAGACCCAGGCCGAAGTCCAACCAGCTTCCGGCTACTAGATGACAAGTCAGAGCCCTCCTGAGCAGGCCTGGAGGACCAGCCCCAGATGCGACATCAGAGAGCCTCAGTTCTAGGGCTGACTCAGCCTGCATCTGCTGTGTAGCCTTGGCCTACTCCTTGACCCTCTCTAGGCCTCAATTTCCTCCAATGCGCAATGGGCAAGATTGTCTTGGGCTCCATGCTTCTCAACCTGGTCCCTAAACCAGACCCTGGCCTGGGGCGACCTCCTCTTCCCTTCATCATGGCTTGAAGCCTGGCCAGATGGGCAGGCAGGAAGCTCCATCTCCTCCTTGTCCTGTTTCTTTGCCTCTCTGTCTCTGTCCCACTCATTCTATCTCCTAGCCAACGTCTCTTCTCTCTGGATCTCCGTGAGTGTGCTCTGCTTCTGGCTGTGACTTTCTCTGTCTTGTTCCCTGACTCTCTCTCTCTGGCATCTATGCATCTCTCTGTTTATATCTCTTTGTTCTGGTTTCTCAGTCCTTGGGGTGTGTGTGTGTTGTGTGTGTGTGTGTGTGTGTGTGTGTGTGTGTTTCTCTCTGCCCCCATGTGCTGGTCTTTAGCATGCTGTCTGCCCATCTCTCTTTGTCCCCATCTCTATGTCCCTGTCTCATCTGTTCCTGCCTTATGCCTCCCTGTGTCTCTCTGTCCCTCTGTCTCTTTCTGTCTCTGTCGTCCCCCCACTCTCTCTTCTCTCTTTCTGTCTCTGTCCCTCTGTCTCTCTTCTCTGTCTGTCTCTCTGTCTCTTCCCCCACCTCTTTTTCTCTCTGTTTCTCTGGGGTTCTCTTTGTGTCCCTGTTTCTCCCTCTTTCTTTATTCTTTTCAGTCTCTTTTATCTCTGTCTCTGCGTCTGTTCCTCTCTTCTCTTTCTTTGTCTCATCTTTCTTCTCTCTCTCTCTCTCTCTCTCTCCTTTCTCTCTTTTTCTTTCTTTCTCTCCTCCCCATTCTCTCTCTTTGTCTCTCTAGCTCTCCCTTCTCTGTCTTTGTTTCATCTCTCCTCTGTCTCTGCCTCTCTATTCTTGTTTCAGTTCAACACTCATTCAAAAATATTTTTATAAAGTTCCTATTCTGTGCCCAATGCCATGCTAAGCACCAAGGTTATTAATATAGAGAACTTCTTGGACAGATGTACAATGCATTTGAAACTTCCTGCCTAGAAGAGTGATCTGCGCCATTGAGAGTTGAAGTGACTCGTTCAGGGTCATCTAGCCCAAATGCGTCGGAGATTAGATTGAAACTCAAGTCTTCCTACCTCAGAAGCCTGCTCTCTATGTACCATATCATACGGCCCCAGGGGACACAAAGGCAGAAGCAAATTAGTCAGAAAAACAATAAATTAAAAAACTCCCATTAAATGTCAAAATAGAAATCCTGAACACCAAAGGAGAGATGAACAAAACTGAAAATAAAAAAGCATAGAATTAACAAATAAAACTAGGAGCCATTTTTGGGGGGAGGAAACCCTAACAAGATAATAGATGATAAACTGTTAGTTAATTTGATTGAAGAGAAAAAAGAGGAAAACCAAATGACCAGTATCAGAAGTGAAAATGAAGATTTCATAACAAATGAAGAAGAAATAAAGAGTATTATTAGAAAATTTTTTTGTCCAATGATATGCCAAGAAAATAGACAGCTTAAATGAAAGATGTGAATATTTTTTAGAACACAGAAATTATAACTTCAACAAAATTATAGGATATAAAATAAGTCCACACAAATCATCAGCATTTCTATATGATAGCAAAAAGAACCCAGAAGGAAGAGATAGAAAGAGAAACTCTATTTAAAATGACTACAGCATGTATAAATGCTTGAGAATCTACCTGCCAAGATACACACAAAAACTATATAAATACAACTGTAAACTACTGTTTCCAGAAATAAAAATGGACCTAGATAATTAGGAAAATATTCTTTGATAATGGGTAGAATAAATTGATAGAATAAAAATGACAATTTTACTTAAATTAATTTACTGATTAAATACCACACCAATTAAACTACCAGAGAATTACTTTAAAGAACCAGGAAAAATAATAATCAAATTCTTTTGGAGGCCAGAAAGGTCAAGGATCTTGAGGAACATTCTGAACAGCATTGGGAAGGAAGGGGGCCTAGCAGTACCAGGGCCCAAATTATACTACAAAGCAGTAATCCTCACAACATTTTGGTCTGGAAGAAAATGTGTCTAATATCTTAATATTCGATGAGCTACTGGGATAAGAACTGGTTATTTGACAAAAACTGCTGACAAATTGGACAGTGGTATGGGAGAAATTGAATTCAGTCTAACGTATAACATCTTATGCCAAAATAAGTCCCACATGGATGTATGTCCTCAATGAAAAAGATCACATCATAAAAATAGAAAAAATGTGGGAAAAGCTATCAGATTTATGGAAAGGAGAAAAGTTCAGGACCAAATGAAGGGTAGAGTGGGCCATACAAAAGAAAAGAGACTATTTTGATTACATAAAATTTAAAAGTTTTTATACCAACAAATCCAATCAAGCTAAGATTAAAAGAGAAAGAAATAACTGGGGAAAAAACCAAAGCTTTACAGCAAATTTCTTTGATGAAGATTTCATTGCCAAGATATATAAAAACTGATTCAAATTTATAAGAATGAAAGTCATCCCCCAAATGATAAATGGTCTAAGGATATGAACAGATATTTCTCAAGTGAAAAAACTCAGATTATCTATAGTCATATGAAAAAATGCTCCAAATCACTAATAATTAAAGGAATGCAAATTAAAGCAATTCTGAGATTCCCACCTCCCACCCATCAGATTGACAAAGATAACCTAAGAGGAAAATGAAAAATGTCAGAGGGATTGTGGGAAAACAGGTACATTAATGGAAATATAAACAGCTATGTTTACGTATCTGGAAATCAGTTTGGAATGATCCATAAAAAATTACCAAACAGTGCATAACTTTTGGCCCAGCTCTAATTAATAGGGATGGAAAAAATGAGAAAAGGTTCTATATTTACAAAAATATTTATAGCAGTTCGCTGTACAGTTTAAAATAATATTTAAATGCCCCCCCTTTTGGGGGATTATTATTGCTACTCCTCTAAATCTTTGATGCTGATTAAAAAATCCCCAACATTGTCACAAATAAGTGCAGTTCACTGTTGGTGGAGCTGTGAGTTTGTCCAAGCTTTTGGGGATGTCAATTGGAACTATGCCCCCAACATCACTAAACTGTGCATGCCCTTTGACCTAAGTGATACCACTCCTTGGCCTGTACCCCAGGGGATCAAAGAAGAAGGAAAAGTATCTATAGGGGTGTGTGTGTGTGTGTGTGTGTGTGTGTGTGTGTACACCCATATATGTATATGTATATTTATTTATTTATTAACAGCTTTTTAAAAATTTTGGTGTTGGTGGCAAAGAACTGGAAACTAAGTTGGTGCCTATCAGTTGGGAATGGTTAAACAAATTATGGCATAAAAATATAATGGAATATTACTGTATTATAAGAAAGGATAAAAATGGATATTTCAGAGAAACCTGAGGATAATTTTATGAACTCATGCAGAATGAAGGGAACAATTTTTACAACTCTGTAAAGATAACAGCTTTGATAAGACTTGAGAAGTCTTGATGAATGCAATGATCAACTATGATTCTGGAGTATTGATAATGGAGAATGCTACTCCCCTCCTGACAGAAGGATGATTGGACATGGCCAATACGGAATTTATTTTGCTTGACTCTTCATATATGTTACTAGGGTTTGTACCTTTTTTTTTCTTTTAAACTGGGGGTAAATGGGAGGGAGATAAAATAAATACTTGTAATTGAAAAATAAAGTAAAATAGAAGATAAAAAATAAGCACAGGTTGTTGAAGCAAATCTACATAGTTGCCATGTATGACAATGTCTCCACTTGTTCCTTAAGTCCATCCACTCTCTATCAGGAGGTGGGTAACATGCTGGAACGTCATGGTTGGTCACTGCTTGGCTCAGAGTTCTTAAGTCTTGAAAAGTGGATTATCTTTATGTGTTCTTGTTATTGGATAATCCTGGTTCTGTTCTTTTCATCTTGCATCAGTCCATTTATTCGCACGCAATAATATTCAATTATATCTGTGTATCATAACTTGTTCAGCCTTTGTGCAGTTGAGGGAAACCTCCTTAATTTTTGATTTTTTGCTTTGCTTTTCCTTTGAACCCTTCATTAAGATCCACTTTCCAAAGGTGAAGTTTGTCCTACTCATGACTATTCTCCCCAATTTTCAATATCTCTTTGTCCACTAGTTCTTTCTCTGCATGCCACATGTATTGTCTTTAGAACTAGTTCTCTTATGGTGACACATTTGCCCTGGTGCTTTCCAAGAGGCCACCTGTACTGACTCAGTGGGGAGAGACTTGGAGATTCTGGCTTGATGAAACAATTCCTTGGTCCCACATGCTGGCAGCCAGAGGAGAGTAGTTACATCAACTCTGCCTTGGAGAGGAATTGTCACTGAGCTGGAAGTTAAGAGACTCTGCTTTTTGGAGGACTCTCTTCTTCTTTCCTTTGGAACATGTTGTCATGTCACTGGTTCTCTGTCTCTTTTTCTCTCTCATTCTGGGACTTCCTCAGACTTCCCCACTCAGGACTGTGTAAGTGAATTTGAGCTTGGGTCTCAGGTCTTTGACAGCTTTTCTGCAAATGGATTCTGGGAGATGGACTTTTGTAGAGTACTTGCATCAGGAGCTCTTGTCTCTTTCAGTTGATGGACTCTGAGAAGTGTCCTCTACAGCTCCTCTAGCATATCTTGGAGAAGACGACTCTGGACAGAGAGAGGAGATAAGTTTCTGGTCTGTATGACC